CACGAATGGGACAGAGGTACCCAAGCAATCGACTTTTGTACAAAGTTTCCCTCTGGTAAGCAAGTCATATTGCAGCCAAAGGTGCTGCTATCCGATCAATATATAATATATAGATAGATAGATACTCTTTACTGTTTCCTTCAAAAGATTACAATCGTAAATTTACTATTATTTTCATATCCGCCTTTTACTGTCCACTGCTTAACATAAGCCTCCCCCTTGGAAGAATTTGTCAGTAGTTGCCAACGCTAGGCAGGTGGATTGGCAGTTAGGTTTAGGAGATTTTTTAAGAGGGCCGCTGCTGCCCATCTCTTGCCCTCACTTAGTCCTTTAATATTAATAGAAATACGAACAATTACAAAAAAATATTACACTGAGAAAACAATAGGCGACCTTATTGCTAAGAACGATCTCTTACAGGCAACCTTTTTATACAATATTTGATTCTATTATGTATAACTGTTATATTCGTTTAAACTTTTAAAGCAACAAACGACGTGAATTTCAATTAGAAAGATTTAAAATTGTCCAGAGCCATCATTGGTAAAGTAGGACGTGTAGACTGAATGGAACCACAAATTGTATGGACCAGAAAAAGATAAATTACATTTTTCTTGATTTATAGTTGGGGCGTTTCATAAAAGAAAAATATTTATAACGTCGGGCATCCATCATAAGTTTAAGAAGAAGATTACGTAAGCAAATAGTATGATAATTCTTTTTATTTCCACGTAAATCCCGGCTCACGAGTCTCGGAGCAGGTGTTTTGGTTTCACTAATTTACATTTCTTAAGACTTAAGGATTAAGTGTTACGCTCACTGTAACTAAATTATCATTATTATAAATATTACAAATAGACGTGATATAGTTAAAAAAAAATTGTTAAATAAATTCGTAAGACGCAATAAGGTTCTCAATTCGCTTATATATTTTTGAAGTGTGGATTTCGCCACTTCTGAATAAATTCTGATAATGTTTGCAATTGACAGGTTTTACTATTTATTGTATTGCTTCCTTATCAATTTTGTTATGATAAAATGCGTAAATTCGTATTTCCTTTTTATAAGAGACAATTATATTTATTTTACGCTATTGTTACGTACTCTTTAACATTTTGATTAAATCTAACTTGCCATTATGTGTGATCAGGCTTCGAAATATATTTATGTCGGAAATATTTCATTAAATTAAGAGTACACGACTCTGTAATCCTGTATTAAGTAATTAAAGCTATTTTGCGTTGCTAAGAACGTAACAGTCGACTTCTCGGGAGCAGACTTAAATCCAACGTGACAAGGCCTAACTTACCACCGACTCTTGGATTAATTAGATTCGTTAACAGTGCTTACTATCAAGTTATCTCTGTTATTTAAACTGACATAAAAAGTTTGTTTTCCACATGATTAGAACTTATGACTGTAACTTACTTAGGATTTCTGGTCGGGGCAATAAACTAGAGTGAATATCTAAATTTAAAACTTAGATTGAAAATCCAAATTTAAAAGGATTTAAATATCCTCATATCTGGAAAGAAGCCTTTATTATCCCCCTACCTAAAAAAAATATCCCCACAGTTTTTTCCGATTATCGACCTATATCCATTCTTCCCTTCCTTTCCAAAGCTCTGGAAAAGTTAGTACATCAGCAACTCAACTTGTTTCTGTCCAAAAATAACCTTCTTAATCCTTTGCAATCTGGTTTCCGCGCAGGTCACAGCACGACTACTGCTCTTGTAAAGATCTCTGATGATATCCGTTTCGGAATGGATAGCTCAGAGCTGACAGTTTTAACATTATTAGATTTCAGTAATGCTTTTAATACCGTCGATTTCGACATTTTGTTGCAACTGATGACTTCTCTCAACATATCTCCAACGGCAATTGAATGGTTTCGTAGTTACCTGGTTGGACGTCGGCAGCGTATTCGTATCAACGACTCTTTGTCATCTTGGTGCAGTACATCTGCGGGCGTGCCCCAGGGTGGCGTCTTATCTCCTCTTTTATTTGCCTTATTTATCAACAATATCACATCTCAGCTTCGGTCTTCCTACCATCTTTATGCAGACGACCTTCAAATTTACTGCCGGGCTCCTCTTATTAATATTTCTGTTGCAGTAAATACAATAAACGAAGACCTTGAACGTATATCTGTCTGGAGCAAATCCTATGGTCTTGCTGTAAATCCGACCAAGACCCAGGTTATAATCATAGGTAGCCCTAGTTACATTTCCAGAGTGGCTTTGAATGACCTTCCTTCTGTAGTTTTTAATGGAATGAAGTTAAACTACAGCGACCGCGTTAAAAATCTCGGCATTTGTTTTGATAGTACTTTATCCTGGTCACCTCAGATTGCTGAGATTAGCAGGAAGATGTTTGCGGCAACTGGATCCCTTTACAGGTTGCGTAAGGTTCTTCCTATGGATACCAAAATTGCGCTTGCTCATACATTGCTCCTCCCCATCCTTGACTACGCCGATTCCTGTTATTCAAATGTCACTGAAGAGCAGTTAAATAAACTTGAGCGTCTTCAAAATTTATGTATACGGTTCATATTTGGACTTCGCAAATATGACCATGTATCCCAATATCGTACACGACTCAAGTGGCTCTCTATCCGTCTTCGTCGTAACTGGCACATCCTTTCCCTTCTTTACTCAATTCTCTTTAATCCAGTTACACCTCATTATTTAAAAGAACGTTTTATGTTTCTTGGAGAGAGCAATTCTAATTCTTATTCTTTACGTAGTACTGACAACCTCCAACTCATAATTCCTACCCATTCTTCCTCTTTCTACTCCAAATCCTTTTCCGTGCAAGCAGTTCGTTTGTGGAACTCACTCCCTACCTCTATACGGTGCGCTTAATCGTTGCCCATTTTTAAAAACTTAGTTAAAGCCCACTACCTATCCTTATAATCACTTAGTCCTACGTATTTCCAGTTTTATGTGTGTTATATATATGTGTATTAATATGGTATATTTATATGTATTTATGCGTATATATGTATATGTATGTATATATATTTATATGTGTATGTGTATGTATATATATGTATATGTTTGGTTGTATGTGTTTATTTATGTATGTATATGTATATGACTATGCTGTCACAAATATTATTTTTTACAAATCTATCTTTTTTAACGCGCCACCTACCTACTTATGCTTTAATCCTTTCTACCCAAAGGTTGTCTGGAAGAGATTGCTTAGCAATAAGACCGCCTTTTGTACTACACTATACGTATTGAAAATTGTTTTAACCAATCATGTTATGTTGGTGCAATAAAGTGTTAAATAAATAAATAAAAAAAATAAATTTCCCAAGTTTGATACTCTTTATAGACCATTGTTTTGAGTTATAAAGAGATGTGTAATGATATAAAAATGTATATACTTCTGTAAATGTGGTAACAGCAACAGTACCTTATTATTCCGGTCACGATATTGCCAACAAAAACCTTTAGCTTAAATTCTACTGAGGCGAACCTTTTATTGAAATATTCAATAAAATGACAAACTAAATCAAATATTTGAAGACAGAAACCGCGCCTGAATACCAGTAGCCCATAACCCGCGAGAGGTTTTTACACTCACCCTGCTATGTGCCACCGAGAGAGATAAACAGATGGAGCCAAGTGCGTTAAAAAAGGATAGGATATATAATAAGGGAATAAGAGCACAGGAAGGGTTAGAACGAGATAGGAGATACTTGAAATTGAAAAATGAAATGCGCAACTCGGTGTCTGTTTCAATCAGCTGGTTGGGTGATATAAAAATTGGCTTATTTATAGTGAAATGAAATGTATCTCGAAAAGATCTAGACACGTACCTTTATTTTAGAAAACTGACTATTTACTTATTGTAAAACTAATAAATTGACTTTGAAACAAAGGTTAGAAGAAAACATCGCGGTGCATTTTTATATAAAATTGTAATTCATATGTACCTATACTTATTTAATATGAAATAGAAATGTATTTCGGCTTACTTTGAAATATTTACGAAATGTTATTTCTAAGTAATACGTAAACGTATAAAAACACAAATATTTATAATTATTTGACTACCTATACATTTAACTTATATATTTAATAAACTTAAATGAATATAGGTACATAATGTAATAAATACATATATGAATTTGTTTAATATTCCGAAAAAAAAATAAATTTTCAATATAAACACATTTAAGAAATTAAAATAAGAGAACATATTTGTTTATTATTATTATTAATATGTTCTGTAAATTAGTAAATAAATTTAATTAAAAAACTTTACGAGAGTAAGCAGAGATAGTCACAAAAATACTGTGGCCTAGTATCCGGACCCTTCATAATTAATCCCTATTGTAATTATTTAACGTTGACCTTAATGCAACGGCACGTTCTAGTGGGGTCAACTCGGCTACTGAATGCATTACGGCGTATAACTATTAAATTATGTATTTTATTATATTTTCTAGGTACACTTAATTTAACATATTTAGTTTATAATTCAAATTGGAAAGTTCGAAATGTATTACATATTCATAATTAATTCATTAAAAAAAAATTGATAAAAACCGACTCGTTTTTGTTTACGTTCTATCGTAATTAAACGTCAAGTTTGTGACATTAATGACAGGTATGTAGGGATTGTTTGAAATTAATGACGTAACGTAATTATAACCATAAACAATATATTGTTAACATTTGTACTTATAAGCGAATTCTTAGAATTTGCTTGTAATATGATCGCTTTATTTGAAATGTAATTACTTTGCTTTGATAAGATATTAAAAATTAAAGTTGTCGTCGAAGCAAAAAAAGTTTTCTTCATTTATGCAACTGGCCGGTTACAGAAATAAAAAGAAAAAAAAACCGTGTTTTGTTTTCATAGATTCCCGCTCAAGCGTCACAGATTCAGTGAAAGCGTTAACTTGAAATCGCGTTGCGTAAACTGAATTTAGTTATTCTGATCAGTTGACGATCAGTTGTGACAATGATGGGATTGTATTCCAGCGGGGCGCTGGGTGGTGTGGAAGTACTGGACGGAGGGTTGGTCGGCGGCGAGCTGACGGCCCACGTACTGAGCGCACAGGCGGCGGCCGCGCATGCCGCCGCCGCTGCCCACCAGCAACAACAGATGGCTGTACAACAAATTAGTAAGTCTATTTATTTTTTGTCGTTGAACTATGTACCTACCTATTGAGTATAGATAAACTTATAATATTTTTATTAACTCATCTATCATAATGGTGCCTTATTCAAAAGAATGATTGAATCAGTGGGTAGCTCAGGCTGTTCATTATTTCTCTGGTATATCAACACATAAAAGGGTGTTACTATATTGCCATAGTTCAGGTATTTTGGGGTTTTTTTATGGTGTTATTCATGTATATTATTCAGGTGAAGATTGACACTCCATTCAAGTGCCCTATCAGTTTGTAGGTTCAATTAAAAAAGTAAGAAAAAGTTTATACAAATGTTTATATGTCTAATTTAAATTATTTGAAGAAATTGCATAAGTACATAAATGTTTTAAATAAATAAGTAGGTATGGTTCAGTTTTATGTTATTAAGAATCTTCACACCATGTTCCAAATGGGGTAGACAGAGAATTTAATATCAAAGGACTGTAAATATATACATCTTAAATATTATATTAAAAGACACTAAATTGATTTGAATAAAATCAATAGCTGTTAGGAACTTTTATTTAAAACTAGCTATGCACCCCGGCTTTGCATAGATGGATAAAATTTAAGGAAAATTATAATTATAGCCTATGTCACTCACAGATAATGTAGCTTTCTGTAGGTGAAAGAATTTTTAAAATTGGTTGAGTTAGTTTATGAGTTTATCCATTACAAACAAATAAACAAATCCTTCCTCACTATAATCTTAGTATAGATTACACAATGTGTAATTTGATTAGAGCAGGGGTTCCCAAACTTATTTTGTTTACTGCTCACTTTGAGAATAAATTATATTTTTTAGTGCACCCCTTTTTTTCACCAACATAAAAACCCTTATTACTTCAAGTTCAACAAATCACCCCCCAAGCCTCTACACAGCCCCCACTTTTTTTCTGGATCTCTTACTGCCCCCCTTTAAGTCTGCAGCACCCACAAGGGGCCGTTATCACCCATTTTGGGAAGGCTGGATTAGGGAGACACTTTGTACAAAAATTCATCTGCTTGGGTATTTTTGTTCCATTCTTATTTCTGCCATGAAGTAGTTGTGTTTGCATTTAAAGATTGGGATATGGTATATATTGGGATTGGGATATAGCAACCAGCAAATTGAACTGATTTTTTTTTCTTTTTATTGTGATTTTTTTAATTTTGTTAGTGGTAATAAAGATTATCTATCCAGAGGGAGACTTTGTACAAAAGTCGATTACTTGGGTACCTCTGTCTCATTCGTGTTTCTACCGTGAAGCAGTTGTGTTTGCATGGCTGTGTTTCGGTTTGAAGGGTGGGATGTGGCGTGAATTTACAGGGTACAGAGGAATAACACCTGAGTCCTCAGGAATGGCAATGCATGGGGGTATCATGGGTGAAACAGTATACTCTGTTATGTCCACGGTACTGCTCATATCTATAGACGACGGTTACCACTTTCCATCAGATAGGCCATCAGCTTGTTTGCCATTCTAAGTTGTATAAAAAAAAATCTAAAATATAATGTGCACATGAGTACCTAATTATGAAAAGATTTTTTTTAATTATTTCAAACATCTGTTGAAATTGTTGCCATATAAAATCGCATAATAAGAGTATGATACTGCATTATAAGAATACCATGTTGTAGGCAGGATTACTGTATCTACACTAATATTATAAAGAGGAAAGATTTGTATTATTGTATGTATGTATGCTTGTAATGAATAAACACAAAAACTACTTTGCCGATTTCAAAATTTCTTTCACCATTAGAAAGCTGCATTCACCCTGAGTAACATAGGCTATATTTATTGCTAGAAAAGATTAGGGGTCCTTACTAAAACTTTAGTAACGTAACTCAAGGTGTAAAATAAATGCTATAAAATATCTTTGGTCGCGCGCGCTGCGGAAGCTATTGGTGATAGAACAAAAGTATGTTCTACAATATTGAAGGAAATATCAATAACTACAAAAAACTTGGCGATATTATATGTCCAACTATTATCGTTATGTCACAATAACCACTTTTTAAAATGTTGTTAAAATGTCCACCCGTGCGAAGCCGGGGCGGGCCGCTAGTTATCAATATAGAAAAGGGCAGCTAACTGTAATAGCAGACTACCACCCGACAGAGACGTCGCCGTCGTCGGGCCGCTCCACGCCGGTCACGGGCGCCGCCGCCGCCGCCGCGCCCACCGGCACCACCTCGCCGTCGCCGAGCAAGCTGTTCGTGGGCGGCCTCAGCTGGCAGACCAGCTCGGAGAAGCTGCGCGAGTACTTCGCCATGTTCGGCCCGGTGACGGACGTGCTCATCATGAAGGACCCCGTCACGCAGGTGAGGAGGGCGAGATGGTAGCTGATCGGATTAGGATATTTGATTAGATTCTACCGGATTGTAAAGAGCAGCAATTAGAACTAAGGGGTTTTTTATGGGTGGTAATGGAATGGTAACCCCACCCGCGCTATCGGTATACACTGGCGGGGCACCAGTGAAGGATGATAGATGAGGATGAAGCAGGTCAATTAGCCCATCGTGACGAATACAATAAGAATTAACCACGATGGTTTCCAGGGGGAACCACGTGGAGGTCGACCTAATAGGACATATTGCTAGCAATGGGGCTGTCAAACTCCATTGCTAACAATACCTTTCCCCCAAAAGTACTGAGGGGTATATTGTGTTCTCATTTATACACTTTTTTTCATTTTTATGGCTGATAATGGTGTGTCGATTCCATCAAAAGATACGGCCGTTTATGTACCATTTATATCGCATATTTAGACTGTGTTGTATAAAAAAAAAAGAATACAAAAAGAATGTAAATAGATTACTTAAAAAGTGACTGCCTTTAATACCGATTGCTGCTCTTTATATTCACGTAAATATGTTAAATCCAAAAATAAAAATACAGTAAATGAAGAGATGTATAAATTAAGGTGATATATGTATGTATGGAGATGTTAAAGGCTGTATGCATATACTAATATATATACATTTTTTTTTTAATAATTGATAATTTATGGTAACCCCGCCTGCGCGTTTGCTTGGCCACCTCTGTCCCATTTGTGTTTCTACCGTGAAGCAGGACCCTCCGGAAACCATCATGTTTATGTCCAGGTGAATCTGTCACGATGGACCAGTTGAGCTGCCTTTTAATCCTTATTTATCGACTATCAGAAGTACTCCTCTAGTGTTTTTTTTTTTTTAATGTTAGATAATGGAATGGTAACCCCACCCGCGCTATTAATATACACCGGCGGGGCACCAGTGAGAGATGATAGGTGAGGATGAAGCAGGTCAGTTAGCCCATCGTGACGAATTCAACGAGAATTGTTCACGATGGTTTCCAGGAGGGACCACGTGAAGGTCGACCTGATAGGGCATATTGCTAGCAATGTCGAACTCCATTGGTAACAATCCCTTCCCCCCACTCCTCTAGTGTTTACCGTTAGTGCAGGCGGATTTACCGTTCCATTATCACCTTTTACTAAAAAAATTACGTGCATAAATGTTACAAATCCAAAAAATGCAACATATCTCCTTTATACATACATGTCTTGAATTATACTGTGACAATCATTCATACAGTAATGTAACAATATACTGTCTCTTCAAATTTTGTTGTCCGACTTATTAGTTGATGAATCTATTGTCGACTTTCACACTCCTTCATAATTAGAAGGAGACTGAGATATTTTGACAGGAAGTAGAGAAAGTCTTGTCATAATTGTATACTGTATATTTTTATGCAACGAAGAATCAAGCATACGACCCGCCTCATGGTGAGCGACCACCGCACAATTAACGCTTGCAACAACGTAGGCGCCATCCGCGCGTCTTTCTTTGGTGCTGTAGGTGTTCATCGGGCGGGTCGTATGCTTGATTCTCAAAGTCGTTGTATAGAAAAGAGGTATGTTCTTAATTTTGATTTAATTATTCACAATTCCTTGAGAAATTCAAAGGCACTCGGAAGATTCTAATAAAAATTTTTTTGAGGCAGATAGGCAAGCGAACCCCGGATATCGCGTATGGGTCAGTGTGTAAACCATAGATAATCTGATGGTTGTTAGGTCTATGACTATGTAGGTAGATGTTAAGTGCGAACAGTACCTATTTGGTGCCATAGACAAAGATATAGACCCGTGGTTTGTTTCAATTTAATAGAAATTAATGAAAAGGTAACCAATTATCACAGGAACGCTCTCTAAATATGTTTAATAACGAATCAATACGTTCGATCGATTATTCGATTTTTAATCTGTTATTGGATTTCGGCCTAAGAACAAGGAATTACATAGAAGTAGTGATAAAATTGTCAATTCATAGCAGACTAGTGTATAGAAAATGTTATACGGCCGTATAACGCTACCAAATTCAGATGCAACCCGCTTGCATACTTTCTACATAAACTGAGTCCAATATATAATCTAGTAATGTAACATTTGTTATTGACAAATAATTGACATATCAAACATTTTCTATACACTAGCCTGTTATGAATTGAGAAGAATAGCAACTGATGGTGTATCTTTCGTCCTCTTTTTACTAATTATATTTGCATAAAAAGAAAGGAGGCAACCATATGATTTACAGTTTTTATTTTAACATTCCTTCTATGTAATTCCTTGTTCTTAGATTTCGGCTGATCGTCAATGGCCAGATCAGTTATTTGTTTATGTTTTCATTAATTGTGTATTTTTATTAATTCTTGTTACTTCAGAGTACAGGTAGCTTTAGTCTATGACACCACCTGCTGTTCGTGCGCAATAGTTTGGGCTATGGTTGGAATACAGTATTTAGGTTATACTAATATTGACCATAGACAAAATTGGCATGCTAGAATCACTAACACCTAGAAATTGTTAGGTATTAGAAAAAGAACAATGTTAAACCCAATTCTTTTAATCTATGGTAGCTTTCGAACTATTAGGTTAGTGTTGCCATGGTGAAATTTTCTACCATTCTAGGAGTTCTAACCCCATAGAAATAGACAAGAGTATTTAGTTGAAATAGTAGCTTTTATGTTTATCGATACTACTAGTTAGAATTTTTTTCTGTAAATTGGTTTTTGGACATCGCAACACTGACTTGACAACCCTTTCAATTTTGAATACGTTTAGTAGAAAATGGTAATTTTTAGTATTTCTTCCATGAGGTAACATTATGATGTTCTACAAATGGTAGTATTTGTTATAACGATAGTAGAATACTGCTCGGTTAGTCGTAAGTCTGCTAAACAAGTTGTGATGTGTACAGTAAGTATGTGGGCATGAGAACAAAACAAAAAAACACATAGCTTTTATGAAAATGTCCTATTACCATTCTTTCCACAGAAACGTGAGTTGAAAAACATCAAAATTAAGCCTCCCATCATCATTCTCATCTTCTTCATCATGTCAGGCTTTAACTGTCCACTGCTGAACATAAGCCTCCCACTTTGGGGGGGTATGCCAGTAGTTGCCACGCTTGGCAGGCGAGTTGGCAACCGCAATCAGACTTTAGAGTTGTTTTAATAGCGACGCTGCTGCCCATCCCTCGCCGTCCCTTAGTCGGCTCTTACGTTACCCTCTATGGTAACCGCTTACCATCAAATGGGCCGTATGCTTGTTTGCCACTTCAGTGGTATAAAAAACCTAAGTATGGGGGAAGAGATTGTTAGCAGTAATTGTTTCTATCCCCATTGCTAGCAATATACCCGGGCAACTTGCATTTTCCTTAAAATCATGACTCTTAATTTCAAGTGAATTCGTCACGATGTTTCAACTAATCATGGATAGCTTGGGGCGAAAGGGATTGTTAGTAATGAGTCTAATAGCCCCATTACTAGCAATCTCGGTTCCCCCTGGAAACCATCATGGTTAATTCTTGTCGAATTCATCATGGTGGGCCAACTGGCCTGCATTCATTCTCACCGATCATCTTCCACTGGTGCCCCGTCGGTGTATACCGATAGCGCGGGCGGGGTTACCATTGCATTATCACCCATTGAAACACTCGCAGTTTTTTTTTTATACAACTTAGAAATGATGGAAAATGGTAACCGTCGCCTATAGACATGAGCAGTACCATGGACATAACAGAGTACACTGTTTCGCCCATGATACCCCCCGTGCGTTACCATTCCTGAGGACTCGGGTGTTATTCCTCTGTACCATGTAAATTCACGCCATATCCTGTAGTGATACGCAAGCGAGTTGGTTAAACACTAATTTATTCATTGAAAGAATAAATAGAACAAATTATTACCGGCCAGTATTTACAAATTATTAGTGGCCAGTACGTGAACATAATATACTACATCTCTTTTCCTTCGAAAGAAAAAAAATAATAATAATAAAGTAACAAGTTATACAAATAAAGAAAAAAAAAAAAAAAAAATATATTACTTTTTTTTTTTTAAAGAACAACAAATATTTCGATATCTATGTATAGTATATCGTAAGTTTATAACATGACGCTTAGTTATTAACATAAAAGAAACTTAACATCATCAAACATAATAACTAAAAATAAAAATAAAAACACTCCAGATTAATAATAATCATAAAAGAAAATATTAAACTAAGCCTACTATTTTATTCTTTATATTGTTTAACAAATAAGTCTGTCAGCATTCGCGCTGTTCTTTCCTTTGACCTTGTTATAGGAACTAAGGGCGGCGAAAGTGATTTATCACTTAATAGTTTATTTTCACTGTGTGAAGAAGCTGATTGGTGGACATCTGTCGTAACAGTACTAGATGTGGCAATTTCTTTCAAGCTTTGAGGCAACGAAGACATATCGTGAGGAATTTGCCTACGTTTACGTGCACGTTTAATTGAAATCGCTTCTTGTGAAGTGCCGCATTCGAGAAACGCTGCTGGTCGACTTTGAAACAAATGAGCTGCTTTACGAGTTCCTGTAGTACGTGCGACCAATTGACTGCGATTGCGCCTATAACGACTTCCATGTTCATCTTCCACAATATATGATCGGGGTTGACGGGTACGCTCTACAATTGAAACTTGTTTTCTACAACGATTATCAATAAGAGTCGCTTTATCACCTGGAAAGAGAAGTTTCAACGGCCTCGTCGACAGATCATAATGCTTTTTAATTTTTTTCCTGTTTGCCATTAACGCTGAATAATTCCGTTCATTATTCACTTTCTCAGACAGTAACTTTTCAGTAATCGGTAATTTCGTATTTATTCGCCGACCCATTAAAATTTGTGCAGGAGAGTCTAAATTATTCCGTGGTGTAGCCCTAAAATTTAAAAGTGCCATGTAAAAATCTTGGCCCGAGTCCACACATTTCTTTAATATATTTTTTATCGTCTGGACGGTCCTCTCACT